AGTATGGATGAACCAGAGGCAAAGGAAAAAGGCGATGGTAAAGTGAGAGACAAAGTGAAGAAGGAAAAGCCAAGCAAAAGCAGCAGAGATGAGGATATATTTGGTCTGGAAGACTCCTGTTTTAATTTTCAAAATATTTTATTTTATTATCTTGTTGTTGTTGAGAATATACACAGCAAAACATAAAAGCACGCATCAATTCAATAGTTTCTACATGTGCGAGTCAGTGATAATAATTAAGTTTTTTCAAGTAGTGTTAACATTTCATCCTCCTTTTCTGAATCGTTTCTTTCCTTTTAACATAAACTCACTGTTCCCTAAGGTTCCTATCTAATATTGTGAGCTGTTGTTGTTAATTTGTTCCTATATAGATAGATTTTACAAGAGCATAATGCCCAAAGGAGGTATTCTTGACTAATTAAGCTAAACAATTGTTTGGTTTTAAGAAGATTTTAGGGGATATAGCTGGTTTAAGATTTAATGATTACCTCAGTGCAATAGTTTGAAGATTTATCCAGCTACTATGGTTCCAGAAATTCTGGAGTCCATGTGAATTTAAAATTCTGTTGTATATTTTCCTCCTTTTGATCAGAATTCTTCTGTAGACTCTTTTATCAAAATGTTCTAGTCTCATGGTAAATTGTTCAAGGAGGCAATTAACCACACACTCCATTTCATCCTTTTATTCCGGACTGTCTTTCTTTCTCTGTTGTTCCAAGCAAAAATAGACCAATTAAAAGAGCCTTGAATGGCTGTTTCAAGTGTTTAAGACTCCATGGCTTGGAAGACTCTTAAAAACTTGATAAAACTCTCATGAGACAGATGTTTGATGAGAATGTACTATATACATTGATTTCAGCTTCCATCCAATGAAAGTTATTTGTTTTCATATTTTAACTTGTACCTTTCTTTTCTGTTGAAGTCCAACATAACTTCTCAAGTCTATTTTTGGGGATAAACTATTTTGAATAAAATATTGTATATCCCAATGACTCTTCAATTCTGGTCCCCAAATTTGTATCTCTCCAGCCTTACTGTAGTCTTCATTTGAAAATGTGAAGGACATCTCAACCAACATAGCTAAGGTATTAAAAAAGGAGTCTCTCTCCAAAACTCTCCTTCCCCAATGTTTCCCATCTAAGTACAAAGTACCACCATCCACCCATTTATTCAAGCCAAAAATCTAGAAGAAATCCTTTAACTTTTCTTCTATACTGTCACCATTTCAGTACAAACCACTATCATGTCTTACCTAGAAGACTGCTTTAGCTCACCAAATGATCTCCCTGCTTCCATTATCCACAGAACAGCCAAAGTGATCTTTTTCAAAACCTAAGTCAGAGGACATAACTTTCCTGATCAAAACCCTCCACTGGATTTCCATCATACTTGGACTTCTTCAGTAATCTACAAGACCCTGTGTGATGGCCCATGCCAAATTCAAATTCACTGTGTGAATTGGTGCTCTTTCTCTAAGCTCTTACCTGGGAAGCCTTTTTCTTCCTGGTCCTTTGGCCTGGACCATTCTTTCTCATGGCTGGCTTCTTGTCATTAAAGCTGGGCTCAAATATCACCTTTTTGTAGAGACCATCTCTGACCACCCAGAAGAGTAGGTAGCACTTCCTTCTGAAGTCATTGCCAAGTCATTGCTTCCATTGTCATGTCCTACACTATGCACACACCACCTTAAAACCATCTAAAGTGTATTTTCTGCTTTCTAAGTTGTTTTTATCTCTCCTCCACTATAAAGTAAGTTTCAGTGGAACTGGGACCTACACGTAGCCCCAATGCCTAACAATAGTTGGCACACACAAGTGCACACACAGACACAGAAATGTCCAGATAATTGTAGTTTTCTCTGGGGTCACTATCATGGCTTAGAGGTGAGAAGAGAGAAATCCCAATCGTTGGGACAACGCAGAGACAAGACAGTGAGACCCAGACGCTGGTCCAGATGAACAGATAGGCTAAAAGAGACAGCAGACAGAAACTAGAGAGAGACAGAGACTCAGACCCAGGGCGAGTTCCAGAGGGAGCGTCGAGTCGCGAATACACTTAAGACCCAGCCAGAGGCCCCGGCCCAGAAGCCTGGGCAGCAGTTGGAGACAGCGCCCAGAGAAAGGACACTGAAGGAGGCCTAGCGCCAGGAGGGAGCGGAAGGCCCGCGCCGCGCGCCCGGAGGCCCGGGGACTACCCCGCCTCCGCTCACAAGTGGCCGCCACAGCTGGCCCGTGCCCCCGGCCGCCTGTGGGTCCGACGCGTGCGGGATCAAAGCGGCCGGGAAGGGGCGGCGCGGGGAGGTGTCAGGGTCCAGGAGGTGTGAGCGACCTTCCCAGGGGACGGCCCGAGCGTGGGAGCGCAGAGTCCCGGAGGCCGCCAGAGACCTGGAGAGACAACGAGACACCCAGAGACCCTAAGACAGAGCCTCAGAGACCCGTAGAGATCAGGAGACAGAGATGTGGAGATGGGCCCGAAAGACACTCAGAGCTCGAGACTTGGAGAGACCCAGAGTCTGAGTTGTGAAGAAGCCAAGAGAAAATATGACAGGTCCGGAGGTGCGCGGAAAGACATCACGAGACTACACGTCAGACATCAAGAGACATTCAGACACGTGGAAAGACGGCAAGACGATAAACGTGGAGACACAGGGTCAGGGAGAAAGAAAGCCCAAGTCAAGAGATAGTGGACAGTAAGATCAAGAAAGGAAGAGAAATAGAAAGAAGAGCTAGGGACCTAAAGACGTCGCTCCTCCCTTGTGTAGGGTCCCGAGGCCACCCGTGGCAGGGACCTGAGCGCCTGGTTCTTTCTCAGGGTCACGCCTGGGGAGGTGCGGGTTTCAGGGAGGAGGAAAGAGTGTGGAGGCAGCAGCAGGACCCCAGGCTGGGAGGAGCCGAATGTCCTCACATTACATACCAAGTCAGGCAATATATTATAAGTCTCAAACTCTGCGATAGAGTCATTGGTAAAAGCAAATAATATTTGGTAGAAATATGTTTATTAGGAGTGCCATCAAACTTATTATCACAGGTTTAGGGAGGAAAAAAGGAAAAGTTAACTTTGGTAGGGACCGGGATCAAACCTTATCTTTTCCATGATAGCCAAGAATTCCACCACTGGACCACTAATAATATAAAAAGGATTAAGCTACCTATATAAACAGAAGGCAGTCTCTGACAGCTTTACCCAAGCTTTTGAGAAGGTGCTGCGACCTTGGTCAGTGGAACCACGAAGGCCAGAGATTCAGACCAGCAGAGGCCTCCTGGTTGCAGTGGGTGGAGAGCCAGGTCATCCTTCCTTCTCCCGGATCCGGTCACTGGGCCATAAAGTCACCCCATATGGCCAGGGGCGGACCCACACCCAGGTGCGAACAGCCTGGGACCCTGAGCCTTGAGTACAGGTGAGAAAAAATCAGACTGAGCTCGGGTTCCCAAGGAGGGGGGCAGCGGGGTCTGCTGGGGCCACACATCTGCGCTCCCATTTGGCCAAGGTGAGGGAATGCTGGAGTCCTTGATTCCAAATGGAAGCCTCTTTCTCAAGATCTGTGTCCCTCCAGTAGCAGGCTTTGAGAAGTCAGGCTCCTTGAGAGAACCAAGGTGTGAAGGGGCTTAGGGAGGATAGCTAGGGGAAACCCCACCTTACTTCGTACAGTCAGCAGCGGAGTGTGTCTAGGTTGGTAACCCTCTTTACCTAGCACTATTGCTGTCCCATTAAAATATTCTGTTAACTGGCTTTCTCTGAGTGTTCACGCCTCATTCTGCTGAAGAGTCTTGTTCTTGGTTTGAGGCAGGCATTAGTCTCTTTCTTGCAACCCTTTCTTATTCCATTAGGAGAACTACATGCTCCCTGATCCACTGTGGCTTTGAGGGATGCCCAGAAACAAGAAACGCAAGCACATTGTGTGAGCAGCCACACTTCTGAATCTCCTCGAATTATTTCTGCGTCAAATACTTCTAAGAGGAAAGATCTTTCCATCTCCTACTTACTTCGTCAAGGCCTTGCTTTCTCTCTCTTGAAGCTTTTCCCCTCCTCTCTGATAATGTCCAGCCACCCTTCAGAAAAACACTTTCTACTTACTTCACTCACTTTGTCTCTATGGTAAGTAGGACAAGCTTGCTCTCTCAACTGCCCAAACCTAGGCCAAGGACCTGCGGAGAAGTTGGGGAGTTGAAAATAGCTGGTCTGAGAAGGAAGCGGATTTGGGGGAAGAGGGGTGTGTGTTAATTTTTGTTTCAGGGCTAGTGAGGTACAGTGAGTTCTGTACCTCTCCAGAAAGTTCTCACTGTGGAGGAGCTCAGACTCTGGACAGTGACCTTCATTCCAGAGTTGCATTCCGTTTAGTGCCAGATAAACCAATAAACAAGGTAAGCACGGTTTTCTTGTGCTTACTTACTAATCTGGAGTCAACAATTTCACATTTTTTTCACCACATCAAAGATTCTGCTTCTAGGTATGACTCTTCCAAACATCATATCACCTTCTTACATAATCAAAGTCTCTTCAAATTTACAATCCCTAACAGCAACGGAGTACCCAGTAAGCAAGATAAGCATGGTCTTACTTGTGCTCACTTTGATGAAACCCATGTGAAATTGTTCACTACAGATTAGTAAGTAAACGCAAGCAAATCCATGCTTACTTTGTTTATTGGATAATAGGCCCATGGGTCTGTATCCAAACTCACGCAAACTTCCTTCCTCTCCTCAATAGCCTCCTCTCTTCAGCTGAGTCCCCGCCTTATCTTATGGTCTTTAAACCAGCCAGTGTCGCATTCGCCCCTCACTTCCCACACTCCCAGGCCCAGCCAGGGGTCAGTTCCACCCTCCTCCTCCCCTTTCACTCCTCCCCTTTCCGGGAGGCTCGTGCCGGGGCCCAGCCGGGTGGGAAGCGGGTGCCGAAGGGGGCGGGGCCGGGGCCGGGGTCTTACTCTCAGGACCCCGGCGCCAGCGGAATATAAGGCGCATGGCGAGCCAGGACTCGGTCCACACAAGGGTTCGGAGGAGCGATGGTTACACGGGATCGAACCGAAAATAGGGACGGCCCCAAGGTGAGAGGCGGGAGGGGGAGGGAGCAGGGGTCCCAGGACCGGTTTGGAGATCGGTGCCTTGAGGCGTTGGATCTGGATAGCGGCTGAGGACTCAGCTCTAGGTGGGGAGAGGTGCTTGCGGGACCACAGGAGCCAGGAACTGGGAAGAAAGCTGCGAAGTATTAGGAAAGGAAGAGGTCGAAGCGGGACCTGAATGGGTGACAGAAGCAGAGGTCTGGGGATTTGGCTAATGGGGACCGGCACCTCTCGACCTGGAGGGAGTGGGAGTGGGCCAGAGTTGGAGTGAAAAAAGCTAGAGGACGAAGTTAAGCGTTGAGGTGGGAACAAAAAGCAGAGAGAATAGTCGCTCGCTCGACGTGGGCAGTGAGCCGGCTGATAGAGAAGGCCCAGGGGTATTCGATCCCAGAGGTCCGAGACCAGGTAGAAGATTTTAGGAAAAGCAGTGAAGAAGGAGGGCGACATTGACGAGTTAGAGGAAGAAGAGGAGGCGTGGTCGCGCTAGGTATCTCCCTTTTTATACTCTGGGCTTCCTGCTCTGAGTCTGGCACCGTGTGGCGCACGTGCCTGGGTGCAAAGTGGGTCCCAGAGTTCTCAACTGAGACAGCAAGAGACTGCACCAGACGGAGACGTAGAGAAAAAAGAAGGGAAGGAGAGTCACAGAGGGGAGGAGGGAGGACAATACCGAGAGAAAAGAATGCAGACAACCTAAGAGAGAAGAAGCGAGCTACAGAAACTGACCCAGGAGTGTTGGGAGGGGAAGCGGACAGGAAGCCGTTGGGCCCGATCCCAGGCTCTCCAGGTCTTGGGGACGGGGTGGGAGGTAGGGTTCTCCCAGCGGCGGGATTCCGACACGGCGCGGCTGCGCTGAGTCTTGGTCCGGTGGACCCGCTTTCCCCTTTCCGCTGGTCGCAGATGCTAAAGCCACTAGTGGAGAAGCGGCGCCGGGACCGCATCAACCGCAGCCTGGAGGAGCTGAGGTTGCTGCTACTGGAGCGGACCCGGGACCAGGTCAGTTCCTCCGCCGGCCCCGGACCCCCAGCCGGGTACTTGCATCTCAGGACTTCTCAAGGGGGTGGGGGCATCTATCTGATGGATTGGCGGCCCTGGTCACAAGGCATCCTGACCTGAGTCCCGTCCTTGGAATTCCATCCCAGCCCCTCTCTAGCTCTCAGAACGCGAACTGCACTGCCACCCCTCGGGTCTGTAAGTTTCACGCCCGGGTCAGTTTGCTCAGTAATTTCCCGTTCCGCTCTTCTCACCCTAGAAACAGCCAGTTCGGTAGAGTTGGCCTACTTCACTCCCTGGGCTTGCTGTTTTAAATCCCCGTCCCTGCACGAAGGCCTGGTTGAATCCCCTTGCCAGAGAGTTTCGTTTCAGAGTGGGCCAGGGCCATTCGTGGTCATCTCCACTCCGCATTCAGTGGCCCACTTGCTCTGTGGGTCGCGCGCATCGGGGGCACTCCGAGCTCCTGCATCCGCCCCTCCTTTCTTCCCCCTGCCACTTCCCCTCTCTCCCCACCCCTCTCTGTCTCTGCGCCCTCCCCTCTTTTCTGTAGAACCTCCGGAACCCGAAGCTGGAGAAGGCAGAGATACTGGAGTTCGCCGTGGGCTACTTGAGGGAGCGCAGCCGGGTGGAGCCCCCGGGTACAGCGCGGGGGTGGGGCAGCGATGGGGGGCGGGAGGGCTCACCGACTCCCGGGTCGGGAACGTGAGGGAGGGTCCGCGGGGAACGGTGGCCTTGGGGAGCGGCAGGCTCTGCTCTGAGGCAGGTTAATAACACCCACGCGTGTCTGTCTCTGTGTCTCCCTCATCTTCTCCCTCTGTCTGTCCACCTGCCTGCTTGTCTCTGTGCGCCTGTCCGGCTTCGGTATCTCTGCGCCCTACCCATTCCCTTACCCCTGCTGGTCCCCTGCCTTGTCCACTGGTCCTCCCGCGGACCCGCCAACGCCGCCGCGGCTCCAGGGTTCCCCCGGCCCCCAGCCCAGGACGCCGAGGCGCTCGCCAGCTGCTACTTGTCCGGTTTCCGCGAGTGCCTGCTCCGCCTGGCGGCCTTCGCGCACGACGCCAGCCCGGCTGCCCGCGCCCAGCTCTTTTCTGCGCTGCACGGTTATCTGCGCCCCAAGCCGCCCCGGCCGGAGCCGGTAGATCCGAGGGCACCACGCCCACAGCTGGACCCCGCCGCCCTGGCACCTGGCCCCGCGCTTCACCAGCGCCCCTCAGTGCACCAGGGTCCCCCTAGTCCGCGTTGCGCCTGGTCCCCGTCCCCTTGCTCCCCCCGCGCCGGGGAATACGGTGTGCCGGCGCCTCTCACCGGACTACTGCCACCACCACCGCCGCCTCACAGACAAGACGGGGCGCCCAAGGCCCCGCCGCCCCCGCCTCCCGCTTTCTGGAGACCTTGGCCCTGAGCTTTGGAGAAGTAGGGGCGGGGGCTGGGGTGGGATAGAGACTCCATCCCGGGGGCAGCAGAGGGACCCGGTCATCCGGGCGAGGAGGTGTTGGGGAGGGCAGCGGGGCGCGCGGGTACAGCGCGCGGGTGAGATTGTGGTCTATATTAGAGTATCTATATAAATATATATTTCCCTGGTTCCTGTCCCTTTTCCCTGCCCCCTCCCTTTCTGTCTAGGATTGTACTCTCTATGACCCGGGCCCATTCCCAGCCCCTTCCCTAGTCCCTAGTGCATGGAATAAAGTGGTTATTAAATCCCGGTGTGTCCCCGAGCCAGGGGCCTGCCTTTATCTCGGCGTCAACGCCCATTTTCCCTCCCTCTCTGTCCCCTATCCCCAGTCCCGCTCTTCGCGGCCCAAGCCCCGGGGCAGACAGGTAAGTAAAGAAGAGAACAGAGCGGAGACTGGTTGCAACTAAAACCAAGTGGAAAATACTAAGATAGGGCAGGAGAAATAGGAACCTTTAAGGAAAAATCAGGAAAAAAAAAAAAAAAAAAAGTAAAACCGACTCTGGTGGGATTCGAACCCACAACCTTTGAATAACTCTTTCTGTCACTAGAAGTCCAATGCGCTATCCATTGCGCCACAGAGCCACCTGGCAAGCGGCTCTGTCCTGTGCCTTACGGGTACTAGATAGGAAAAAGACAGTGAGGGGGGGTGGGGAAATTGGGCGGAATGTACGAGAAGCGCGTGGTTTGGACAAGGCACCAAATGGCATAATATAGACTGAGGCCTGCACCGGAGAAGTGGAGGGCGTAAAGCACATGAGCTAGGTGTGAGTGTTGGCGCTCATGGGTGGAAGAGACAGGGAAAGAGCAATCGAATGTGAGTTATTCCGGTGCTCAGGTTGCCTGATTGGGGTGCACTTTGTGCCTAGGCTCATCCTATCCCTAGATGTGGCCTCGCCCGTTAAAATAAATTGGTTTTTGTTTGTTTTTTTTTGCACATTCTTGAGTGTTTCAGTTCTTCTTGTTTATAATTTTTGCCGTCCGCTGTTGCAAACTCAGGAATCTCGAAGATAACCTATTCCAGGTTTGAAAATTGTACAGAAGGAAATGTGTATATATATATATATATATATATATATATATATATATATATATGTTCTCACTGCATCGTTTCCTTCTAGTCTCTTAGGAGGACAACGGGAATAGTGCGTTTTCACGCAGGTAGCGTGGCCGAGCGGTCTAAGGCGCTGGATTTAGGCTCCAGTCTCTTCGGAGGCGTGGGTTCGAATCCCACCGCTGCCAGCGTAGAGTTTTTTTTGTTTTTTTTTTCTCAAGTGCGTGTAGCAACTACTAATTAAAGTTCCTTTGGAACATCCTCATTTTATAAAGGTACCTCGCTGTTAGTGACCTCATCGCTGTCAACCGTTTCTGTCCTACAGTCCTGCATTCCTGTTCCATATTAGAAAACTACCATGATAAATCCTGTTTCTTTTTTTTACCGAACCCCACTTAATACGTCCTCTAATATTGCATTCTATTTTTCAAAATTAATACAAATTCTCATATATTTAAATGATTTCAATATGTTGTCCTAATAGTGTGGTAGGGGTTCCAATTGACCAGATTTGAAAAGCTCCAAGAGCAGTGTCCTAGTTTTCTTCAGCCTTAGAAACCCTGTACAGGATCGATATGAGTCGGAACCGATTCCACGGCACATAACGACCACAAGGTCCAAAGAATATCTTACGTACGAGACAAGCAAATATGTGTGGCATTCTCTGGCAAAACTCTAAGGTTCCACCGAGATTTGAACTCGGATCGCTGGATTCAGAGTCCAGAGTGCTAACCATTACACCATGGAACCCACCTCGGAATCATCACTCCAGCAATTACATACATTACAGAACGTCGTGTGTGTGTGTGTGTGTGTGTGTGTGTGTGTGTGTGTGAATTTTCGCTCTACGCTTCACAAAAACAATTTTATTATCCAATATTATCGATATTAATTGCATGTGGCTGAGCACCAGAAATACGAATTAAAATGTACAATAAGTATTAATACATACTACATTTAGAAGATTTCGTATGTTTAGTACTTTAAAAACACTGCTTATCTGTTGATAATAGGATTTTGGATATAGTGGATTAAATAAATATATTATTAAAATAAATTCCACCTTATTCTTTTCACTCATTTTAATGTGGC